ACATCCTCCCGTAGCCGGCGGGGGTGGTGGGGGGGAACGGGGGGGCTGCTCTGCCTCGCCTGGCGCGGCGGCCGTTGGGCTGCCCCTCCCCCGCTCCCCTCAGGGCCGAGGCGGGGTGTGTGTGTGGGGGGGGGTTATCCCCCCTTCCCCACCGCTCGATCTCTGGGTGGAGGAACGGTCCTGCCGGTGCCGGGCTCGCCGTCGGGCTGCCTGCGGGGGGGCCGCCAGGCAGGCAGAGCAGGACCCACAGCGCGTTGCTAAGAATAATAAAAAAATAATATAGCACCCCCACTTTCACTTAGTCGGGCGCAGCTGTCAGCAGGCGTGCCCGTGTTGATGTGGCCAGCGGAAGCTCCGGACAGTTCAGGGCAAAAAGCGAGCCGAGCGGTAGGATATTTGGAATGCATATCTATTTTCGGCAGTATGTGTTAAACTGGTAGCCTGCTAAATCATTAAAATCAGGAAGCTGTGCAAGAAAACAGGACTTTTTTTTTTCATTTTCCTGTCTATATAAATAGTCCTAATTATGGGCCCCGTTTTAGAATTACAAAACATACTCTGCTTGAGTTAATCATGCACCTTCCTGCTCCTTTTTGCAAAGCGCTGGCTCTACGGGAGGGCGCCTGAATGAGTGTTACGTCAATAAGCAAATATTCTCATTATATGACTCAGATGCAGATCTCTGTACCTGCCATTCACAGTATGTCCATCCTTGATTCTTAAAAAGTCTGCCCAGCACCGTCTCTGGAATAGTTCTGTTTCTTGGCTGACGTCGTGTTCTTGGTTCTTCGTTTGTAGCTTCATTAGCAGCTGTTGAGAGTGATTTCTTGGACTATTTGGGGACAGTGGTAAGCAGCCTGTGGTGCGGTAGGGTCCTCACACCAAAAGCTCTTAGCATCCTTCTGCCAAAGACAAGAACAGCCAAGGGGATGGTGGTGTCTTTCTTCCATTAACCCCGGTGGGAGTGGGCACAGGATGTCAGTCAGCTTGAAAAATTGAGACCTCAGTCTGCCACTGGATGGGCTTTTTGAGTTTTTTTGCATAAAAGACTGTGTCATGGAATCACAAACTATATTTAGCCTTTCTAAAATAGGTGGATAACTTGCATTTGTGTCAGACTGCTTGGACTTATCTGCAGCTTCCATGAAAAAATTGGATTTGGAGTTTGGAACATAAACCAAGGTGGTTTTTTATTCCCAGCCTCTTTTGTAGCCTTAAGATTTTGGCTAAACTTTGGGCTTAATTATAGAAATTCAACTGTAGCCTTTGTTACAGTGGAACTACTGTCTTTCTGCATTAACCAAGGCTTAAGAAGTTTCCCTACCCATCAGAAAAATGAAACCATAAAGAAGCAGCCTTAGCCGAATTATCAGAAGCAACAGTTTGTTGAAAAAAATCCCCTCTTTATCTTCCTTGTATCTTCTCACGTGAGACAAGATCAACTTTTCTGCCTGACAGTTTTCACTGCATCCTCCCGAGATGGTCTAACTGTCCCATTTGTCTGTGTCTAGAAAATTTTATGTATATTTACACTGTGTTTCTTAACTGCAGGGAGTTAAGTCTCTTCTTCTGTGGTGTTTTTTGTCTTTTTTTTTTTTTTCCCCCCAATGTCTGGTCATCATGGTTCCATCTGTGGGGATCACTGCTGTTCTTTTCTCCCAGAGCCTCCATTCTGGGGGATCCTCCCTGTATGCTCAATTTCCCCAGGCTTTTCCCCTGCTGCTCAAAACTTCCCCGAGCAGTAGTGCAATTCACTGAAAACAGCAACTTCATATTAATGAATTAAAGGAACAATATAACACACTGTGAATAACAGAAGTGTGCTTGATTGCAGCAGGAACGCTCAGTGTAGAGACAGAGCCCTGTAAAGCTTGGGTTTCTTCTTGTTCTGTTGATGATAATGGAGTTACTTATTTTTAAAACTGTGCTTGAAATATTTCATCTGCATTCTATGATTAATACTTGGAACTGCTGATATAAAAGAGCGAGCCTGTCACCTCAGAGGTCAGTTTTTGTTTCCTCTTTGTAAGCAGGTGTCTACAAATTTCTTGCCATGTGAGCAGAGAGAGGTAACGACTTTTTAAACGTTGACTACTCACCATGGCAAAGTCATGTGGGGACAGGTGTGGTTAACTGGCTAGATTTCAGGTTGTGTTTACTGTCATCGTTATTTATGTTTATTCTATGCCTTCTAGTAGTACCTGGGTTAATTTTAGATCAGCGTTATGGCCGGTGCTGGAGGGGACCGACAGGGTCACAACAAGGGCTTTTCTGTCTGACTTGCTAATACGCACCGCATAAGAAATTCAGAATGTGGAAGTGTATGGGTGTCACTTGGGCCTCCCATTTGTCTTCTTGAAGTGTTACAGATTGTGAAGAACAGATTGTCCTCCCTCTTGTGCAAAGTGAAGAAAGCGAGCATTACCCCTTGTGTCCAGTGGTGGTTTATTTTTAGAAATGTCGTGTGATTTTTTTCCTCATAGGAAGATAAATTTTTTCACGTTCTAACAGTAAGAATTATTTCACATTTCTTTTAATTGGTCTGGTTTTTGTGTGAATTTTTATAAAAGCTACAGTAAGATTGTTCATATGTCTGACAAAAATCACACCCTGTATCTGTGAGGGGGAGAGATTGAGGAGCTGTTAAGACTCATTATTGAAGTACAGCTACAATTAAGGATGAGTTGTCCGGAAGTCCTCCAGTAAAATAATCACTGACATTCTTCTTTGGATTAGTAATGTGTTGTATATTCAAAAGCTAAGCTGGTATCTTGATGCTGGTTTCAGCTCGGAGATTCTTCTTGCTCCTGGGAGCTTACTCCAGCCTGTCATAGACATAAATTCTCAGAGTGTGTTTTACAAGCATACTGAATTGCTTTGCTTTATGTGTCTGCTGGTGGCAAAAGCCAAAGACAATATAATTGTGATGTCTAAGCCTGCCTAACTTCTCTGAGCTGTGGGTTATGGTTAGGAATAGTGACTTTTTGCAGCAGTGGAGTTTTGTTATAGGAATAGATATAGTAATGGATGCACCTATTGCTGTCCTCAACTCCTCCAGCATTAATCAGTTCCTATAGATTAGGAAGTCATCCTTTCTAGTTGCTTCCCTCTAATTATGAACATGTAGAAATAAGCCAGGTAACTGTAGAAAATCTGAGCTTTGTGTGATAAGACTTGAGGAAAGAAAAACATTTAATGGATCATTATGAATGTTGAGTTCTGTCCTTCTCTCAGTTTACATTTTATGGGAGTTCCTGTACTAGTTCATCCAAAGTTTTGTTTCTTTGCCAAGTTGAAAAGATGTAGATACATAGAGGAAAATTAGTTACATGATGCAATATAATTAAAATTAGGGCTACCTGAAGAAATGGAAACGTTTGCTTAAGAGAAACCTCCTGAAGAAGTTTGTAGGAGCTGTTTGACATAGTTGCCAAACTGTGTGATGAGCTGTAATTTTTGCAGCCTTTCGCAAATATTTCTATCTTCTTTCCCCAGTAAGAACTTAATTTGGTCCCAGATTCTTGACAGATCGTTCAGCTTTTCGCTGATGTGATGGACGTCCTTTGGGTAATTGCTTTTAGTCAGACGAATGAATCCAGCTTTGAAAACAAGAATTGCCAAATTACCCCAGCGCTCTCTCCCTGTGTGACTGCCCAGTGGTCTGTTTCTGGGCCAAGTTATTTTTGATTGCAGCCAAAGGTCAGGGGTACAGTAGGTGTGCATTACTCTCTGGTAAACAGGAGTCTGGTACAGTGCCCTTTTGTAATTTCCATGATGACTGGTGGGGTGAGGAAGAACGAAGGCGCTGGGTTGAGCAGCCAGACTCCAGTTGCGCCACATTCCTCCGGCTCATGCGTGGCCTCTGGCTTTTATGCCAAGCACCCGCATTTGGTTTTGGTTTGTTTTGGAAGGAAAACAGGTATTTTTAGTTGACTGCGAAGGCAGCAGCTGGTAGTTTTGCTGTTGGTTTAATGCTAATGTCATCTGGAAGGGTGATGCACACTTCCTGAAAGCAAAGTTAGTCACCAAGCTTTCAGATTTCAGCACCTCAAGGAAAAAAATGAAACATTTTAAAGTTTTACCTGAATTCAAACCCACAAAGTTGAGCAGAGAGAGAAGCCCAAGATGCCATTCTGTCAAGGCTTACTGTAGAATTTGTTCTAAATAAAGCTTGGATACCCCTGAAATAAAGGACTTGATAGGTTGTAGGTAAAATGTTAGGCCTCTGTTAGGATAAAATTGTCAATTCCAGATGTTGCAGAGGGAAATATAATGAATTGTTTTTCTGTACCTGGATTCATCCCAAGACACACTTTTTGAGGTGTGGATCAGATCGGTGCTGTTGACATCACAAGCACAAAGGAAGGCTGGGAAACCATGTGCTGGCAGAAGACAAAGCACGTTTGCTTTTTTTTGTGTTGTCTAAATGTCTTGGCTGTCTCCTTTGCTCTTTGCTCTTACTATTGGCTTTGTCACTTCATGCTTCATTGTAATTTCTCAATATGCATCATTCCTATTTTCTTTAAATGTGTTTCTCAATACATTGTGGAACACGAAGGGGAGCAGAGTGTGGCTGCTGTGTATTCGAAGGGTGAAAACACAGGATGATGGATCCTAAAAAAATTCCCTTCTGATCAGTTTTTTGCAGTTCATATACCTCAGACAGCCAGTGAAGCTTAACTCAAGCAGATGTTTGGGTCATGGGACTTGTGATGGCAACGAGTGCCTAGTAGAAATAAGTAGAAGACAATGCAATTTACTGCTGTTACTAATACAAGAAAGATTTGGATGTTACATAAAAGTTTTGAGAGTCCTGTCCCATTTGGACCCATTAATGAATGAACTGTGAGACAGTGCCACGTTGGAAGGGAAAAAATGCAATGCAGAGTGTATGAAAACCTGCATTTCCCACTACCAGAGCAGACTCAGCTAATACCATCAGTTTATGAAAAAACACAGTTCAGACTTACTACGGTATCTGAGATGGTACTGTTAATTCCTCCAGTGACTAAAGGTTTTTAGAATGCTATATATTTTTTCTGAATACACAGAATATTGATACTGATAAGCTATACATCTAGAAATAGCAAGTAATTTGCTTACAAGTTCAATAACACAACAAGCTGATGTTTTCTCAGCTTAGAGGTTCTGCTGCAATTCCTGTGAGACATATGCTCTAGAATTCCGCAAGAGTTTTATACATTTAGCCATTACTTCTCAAGATTAAGACAGATAGTTGAGATTTAGGGACTCCCACAAGCTTCAGTCTTTTTATCTTTTCAGACAACTCACAATGCCATGTTGTGCAAAAATTCAATAAAAACACTTAATCTCTTCCAGGTTTTCAGACAAGAAAGAAAGGCTGATGCATCTTAAAACCAAACAGAGAGAATTCCAAAAACAGTAAGTTGTAGTTATTAAATGAAAAGAACTCTCAGAAAAACAAAACGGTCTCTCTAACGCGCTGTCGCTAGAGACAAGACATAGTCCAGATTGTAGTAAAACTTTTAATCATGTTTTTTCCTCTAGTGTTTTGAAGGCCATGGAAGGGAAAGAGATAACTGATCAGCTGGTGAGTTGTTCAAAGTGTCCCACCTAGTTTTTAAACTCTCTGTATTCCTAGATTTCATAGTTTAAAGTTACACTTTACCTTGAGGGCATTGTGTTGCTTTCCCAATAAGCATGTCGTAAGCAAAACTGAAATTGGCTCTGCAAGCAGAGTGCCCCGAACTGTCAATATTTTTAATTTCTTACTAGGTATTTGTTCAATAACTTATTATACTGATTGACTTTATACTAAGCATTCAGTTTGTTTGTAGCATTCTTCTGTGCACAGAACAGTATATGAAATATTTATTTGTTCGTCTGATCCAATTAAGAACATCCTGCTACTTTTACACTAAAGCTGCTGGCTTTGTTGTTAATCATTAGTCAGTGTGTTTGAAGTCGTTTGTGCCCTAGAGTTGCTGAATGTTCTTTTTCAGAGATGGAAAATAATGTCTTGCAAGATGAGGATTGAGCAGCTGAAACAGACCATTTGCAAAGAAAATGATGAAATGACAAGACGTGAGTAATGCCTGTGCTTTTGTGATGTGGAAAACTCTGTGCCTTAGAGTGAAAAATCAATTTATGTGAATTTGAGTGTTAGTTTTTTAAAATGGTGACTCTCCAAACCGTCACTTCTTAAATCAGCTTGAAGGCAAATAGGGGAGTGGATTTTATCTTTTTTATGCTTGGGTTTTAATTAGAAAACAGGAGACATTATTCAGCTGGATGGAGATCGTTTTGCAACAGCTCTAAAAGTAAATGCTTAGCAGCCTATGACTTTGGCTTTGTCCCTGGAGATGGCTTTATTCAGTGTAGTGTTTCTGATCACTTCCTCTTGATAAAGAGGAGCAAACAGCTCTGCAGCTGTTAGAAATTTCATGCAACTGATAAATTTTAACCCACACCTGTCTAGAATTCCTAAAATCCAACTTGAGCAGGAGTCACTGAAATACGGCATAGGCTGGTGGCTTGCTACCGTTCAGCAGCTTCAGTTTTGGAACTCATTAAATTTTTTTTACACATGAGAGATTTGTAGGGTCATTTTTCAGATGAGAACATGCAGCACTCCCTCCAAGCTACATCCAAAGGCAAGATAGGAAGCATGTTCAGAAGCATTTTGATTGGATCGGGAACATTTTTATGACTTGAAATTCAAGAGGAGCTGTACAGGGAGTGGAAGCAGATGCATATACCTGAGAACAATTATAAAGGAATAGCACAAGCTTGCAGTGATAACATCAAAAAGACTGAGATGCAAAATGATTTTCAGTTAATAAGGTGGATGAGTAGTAAGAAATGTATAATAAGATGAAGGAGTAGGCAAGTCTGTTAGTTAACAGGAAAGAGAGCAAGTAAGTGAGAAGTCTGAAGCATTCAGCGCCTTCTTTGCTTCATCTTCTCACAAAGAAAATGTGATCAGCTGCTTAGCCAGATTAAATTTTACATCATGAGAGGACTGCAGGCTAAGGAAAGAAAACAGCCAGCTAAATATTATTTTGATTATGTCAGCAAGGCCTTATGAGATTCACCTTAGAGAACTTAAGGAACAAGCTGAAGTAGTCTGTAGAGTGCACTTGAGAAGGGAGAGAGGATGTCCCAGGAAACAGAGTGGAAATAATATCTGTTTTCAAAGGGTGGAGGAAGGGAGAACCTTAAACTGATGGCACAGTCATCCTGTTATAAGCCTCTGGCCATTTTGCAAGTAGTTAGAAGATAAGGTAATTAAGAATAGGTCATGTCAAATCAACCCCTCCTCTGCAGATCGGTGGTCTAGCAGAGTGAAGTAGAAGATGCCTTTGGGCACTACCCCAGACTGTCTCAGGAGCAAGTAAAGATGTTTGCTCTGGGTGTAATCACTGGAGGGTTGACACAAAAGGCTAGAAAGGCTGCATTCAGAGTGGTGAGACAGGTGGAGCTCAGCAGGAGCCGGTTCCTGGCCCGTTTTTGTTCAATATTTTCCATAATACTTGCATGGCAGAATAAGAGGGTGGAATGGAGGAAGCTGAGGTGGATGACAATATGACTTCTGTGAAGAACAGGATCAAATTCAAAATCCTGCAGATAACTTGACAATATAATCTCAAAAGGACAAAGTCAAGTGCGTGTTTAGGAAGGAGAAACATACAGACCTAAAGTCGGGGACGGTGGTGAGATTTTGACAGGAAGAGATCTGGGAAATTGCAAATTAAATAAAAATTACCAATCTGATGCTCCTCCAGAAAGGTTCAGACCTCATTCTGGGTTATACTAATACAAGCATTGTATTCAAGATGAAAGCAATTATCCTGCTGTCCCCCCAGCATTGATGTTGCCTCAGTGAAAACCTGGTGTCCGATTTGTACAATTTAAGAAAGACACAAATCAACTGGAGAAAGTATGGAAGAGAATATTAGGAATAAAGCACAAGGAATGGCTAAGGAAATTGATGTTTGCTTTGGTTTAGAGAAGAGGGAGGTAAAGGAAAGCAAGCTTTTTAGTAGATAAGGTTATTATGAAGGAATTAATTACTTTTTTCTTTAGTCTGTGAAGAAAGGAGAAGGGGATGTCAATGTTACTTTGAGGAACTTACCTTTTCTCAAAATGCAGCTCTGAAGGTGGTGAAATGCTAGGACCAACTGGGGAATGGAGTTCCTCCACTTTTCTACTATGCTGTGAAGTGCATTATCTCCAGCTTTTGCAACTTCTCTGATTCACAGTGAACTTGATTAGGTTTCACCCGTGAACTGGCCTAACTATTGCCTAGCTGACCTCTTGTTAGCTCAGTTACCCCAAAATTGATCTTGCAGGTAGACCCAAAATGAACTCTTGCCCTGAAAAGCCAGTAGATCAGGAACCCAACTTGGTTCACTCATGGACCGCATTAGAAAATGTAAATAGGTTGTTTCTCTCTGGCGTAGTTTAGTTTTCTGAAATAAGCATGATTTGTGGAACATTGGGCTCCTGCTTTTGCAGTTGACTGGATACCTCAATAATAGGTGCTGCTTAAAATAAATTCTTAAAATATCTATGTTTAACTTATGTCTGTGGAGAACAGTTCAAGGAGAGTCTTGCATACCCTGGCATAGCTCTCTGTTGGGCAGAGACCGGTGTGCCTGTGTTTGCAGTGTAGATGTGTGGGACATGGTTGTGTCCTGAAATACTTCTGGGGGCAAATTCTCATAAAGCAGAGGTGCTATGCCAAAAAAAAAAAAAAAGGGGGGACACACACAGTTGTTTCTGCACCAGGACTGCTAAAGAAGAAATGTGTATGCAGTGTTCTCCCCTGCTTCTCTCATAATTGCTGTTGGACCTGTGGAAAAGGGAGCTCACTCTGTGGAAAGGTGGCCTTTGAAGTACAACATGAATGTGAGAATTGAACAGATGGATGTTTTACTCCTCCTCTGTCTCTTATTCTTTATGCAAAGGAAGAGTTTGGGAATATGAATGCAAGCATTAATTGATGTTACAGGAGTGCTTAAAGGAAACTGAATTACTGACACTTAAAGATTCTTGGTGTCACTCAGAGAAAAGTCAGTTTTTCTATGGTTCCTCTAACAGGGGGTTGCTTGTTTTATAAACCTGAGGATTATTAGTCCTTACCTGCACGGGGAAGCTATTCTCACCTTTAATCGGGGACTTTGCATCTCCCATGTATCAGATCTTCCTTCATACCAAACACATCACAGATCGCAACAGATCAGTTAGATGACTAGAAATAATTCCTGACGTTCAGAGAAAGCACACGCGCTGTCTGGGGGAGCAGGCACACTCTGAGGGGTACCAGCAGCCCTGGTCTCCCACCCTGCCAGACCAGGGGCTGGCCAGAGGTCTGTGCAGTTCCAGCTCTGCAGTGCAAACCAAGACTAGCAGGAGGGTCTTGTGTGCTGGCTGAGCGTGGCTGGGCACACACCCCCGGGGAGGTTTAGACTGGACATTAGGAAAAAAATTTTTCACAGAAAGAGTGGTCAGAGAGTGGAACAGGCTGCCCAGGGAGGGGGGGACTCCCCATCCCCGGGTGTGTTTAAGGGTCGTTTGGATGAGCTGTGGGGGATGTGGGGTAGGGGAGAGCTTTGTAGAGTTGGGCTGAGGGTTGGACTCGATGATCCCGAGGGGCTTTTCCAACCTGAATGATTCCGTGTGATTCTGTGGTGGAAATCAGTCTTGGGTCCCATTCTTTGGATGTAGCCTTTAATTTTTGTGCTCCCCTGTTGGGAAGACTGACACTCTGAACATGGTGTTTGAGGTGGCCATTGTTGCTTAGAAGTTTTCTTGATTTTAGTATCTCGTAATACAGCAGCTTTGAGTAGCAGATGCCACAGAGCATTCTCGTAGCTCTGGTCTCATCTGTGCCTTGCAATCAAAATGTACTGGTAAAACAGTGAGTTGCTTAGTGCTTTCATTCTGTGCAAGGGACAGTTATCCCACTTCTTGATTACAGGAAAGTGATTCCTTGCTGTGAGAGAACCTGACTAATGCTGTTTCTTTTCAGCCATAAAAATGGAAAGTGAGTGACTAGTCGGTGAGAGCTTTCATTCAAACTAGGGTACATTAAGAACTTTAGACATGGATTTGCAGAGTGTGTATAAGAAATATTTTCCTATGCTTTTGAAAGACAGAAGTGGCTAACTCACCGTCTTTAGCACCATATGTTTGTGGAAGCATTACTGCGAGTCAGTTATTTTATAGGAGAATCAGCAGATGCTCTTGAAGGATGTTTTTCCAAGCCTCAGTGTGCTTGACTCATGGAGTAAATTCAGGCAGTTGCAGCCCTTCGGTACATTAAGCTCATTTCTCATTTTGTGACTGGAAAGGGAGATAGTCACTCTTCCCTTGTGGTAACAAGAAGTCTGCACCGTTGGGATCCAGGTGCTTTAAGAGCACATACGTGAGTGCAAAGCCTGAGTAACATACACCGAGAGCAGCAGCAGTGCCAGAAATGGTGAATGAAGATGCTATCTGCACTTGATTTTTGGCTGCGAGCAATGCTTGTCTTTTTGGCCAGCCCCATGCAAACGTGTACAGTCAAGCTATTTCTGTCATGATGATTACCTCAGAAGTTTAATTAAACTGTGAAATCTTGGCTTTTCTGCTCCAAATCCAAAAATAGCTGGGTAAAAGATAGGGTAAGATTAATCCCAATTTCAGTCTCTTTTGGAGATCTTTGGAAAAGATTAAAAAGTTGTAGCACTTAGCAGCTGGAAAATGTTAAGAGTTTAGCAGGGTTTTCTGTTTTAAGCTGCTATAGATCTTGTTTTCTATAAATATTAATAATGCTGTTCTCAAGCTTACTACAAGTACCTCAGAGCTCCTTTTCCAAGGCTCACATCTGCTGCTGTTTTCACAGATGCGGAGGGGCTTCTGAGAATTAAAGAGGAGAACCAGAAGCATTATCGCAGGGCTCAGCGGCATCAGGAGAAGAAAGAGAAGATCCAGAGGCATAACCGCAAGCTGGGAGACTTGGTAGAGAAAAAAACCTATGACTTGAAAACCCAGTATGAGCATCTGGCAAATCTTCGTCGGACGCATATCCTGGAGCTAACATCAGTCATATTTCCCATTGAAGAAGTAAAGACAAGCATGAGGTACAGAGGGCTTATTCTTTTGGACTCGGTTTTGCTGAGCTTTAGACACCCAGAAGTGAGTCATGTAAGTCTAAGCTAGACATTCTGTCTCCCTTAGCATCTGTGGGGAGAGGGGGGTGTTTCCCAGAGGCAGAGCATCTGACCTAAAGGTAGAGGTCCAGAATAGAAGAATCTGGAGGTGGTAGCATCTCCCTGCTGAAAGATCTGCAGTGTGTGTTCAATGTTAAAACTTCTTAAAATAGATCATTAAAAACCCCAGAACAAAGGAAAGTAGTTTTGGGAAGGAGGAGTTTTGCAGCAGTGTTTCTGCAAGCATTTTGCTCTCTGTGAAATCTGTCTAAGTGCCTGCCGAGCGCGCCTCTGATTACATTTTTAAAACTTCGTTAAAAACACTCTGTTCCTCTTCGGGTGCTACAGAGATCCTGCAGATGTGTCTTCTGAGAGTGACAATGCTATGACCTCTAGCACTGTGAGCAAGCTCGCGGAAGCCAGGAGAACCACGTATCTCTCTGGGAGATGGGTGTGTGATGATCATAACGGGGACACCAGCATCAGTATCACAGGGCCTTGGATCACCCTTCCTAACAACGGAGACTATTCAGCGTATTACAACTGGGTGGAAGAGAAGAAGACTACACAAGGACCAGGTGAGGAGCAAGGTCTGATTTGGCATCTGGAATACTCCAGAAGCCACAGAACTCGCAGCCTTGGGTGCCAGCAGAAGACACTGAGGAGCAGTAGCCTGGTCTGTTTGTTCTCACCACTGCAAGCCTGAGTCAGAAATAAATACCAGTACAGGGATTAGTCCGCTGAAATCCTCTTTTGCAGGAAATGCTCACTGGGACAGAGCGCAATGTAATAGGTAAAGTTAATTATTCACAGTTTTGACATGGTTCACCTGCCGTCGTTTTAACAGGAATTCCAAGAATTACTATTTTCTCCTGACTTCTGACAGATTTCACTGTAAATGATTGCTGGATTCAGGCAGTTCTCAATACTTACAAATTACATTTTCTAGACTAGACCAGGAACACACTAACACACCCACTGAGGCTTCATTTAAAATGAGATTTTCATGATGTTTTTATTTCTTTCAGATATGGAACATAATAACCCTGCTTATACCATCAGTGCTGCATTGTGCTATGCAACTCAGCTTGTTAACACTTTGTCTCACATACTTGATGTAAATCTTCCTAAGAAGCTCTGCAACAGGCAAGTAAATGCAAGCCTCTGAGGAGGTGAATCAGTGACCAGTTTTGACTGATCCTAATTCAGTTTGGTTTTAGGAACCATGTCATTACTTGGAACAGCTTTTATGGTAACAAGTTGATAGCTCATGGGTTTTTGTGCTGTTTAATTTTGAGTGGAGGGCTAGTAGGATTTTAGACTGCAGTTAATAGTCCCTCCCTCCTTTTTTACCTCCTGAGAGTGTAGACCAATCATCACAGTTGAAAATAACAGCTTTCTAATTGACATATTCAGCAGCCTCAAATTAGAATTGAAATATGACAGTCCATGAATAGCACTTTTCATTTTATGAGACCCTGCTGTGCTCTACAAAATCCCAGCCCCATTCAGCAACTCATAGTCATCTTGAATAGCTCCACTACGTAAAGTGCTGCAGAACAAAGCCTTATCATGTGGCACGACAGCAACGTGATTCTCTTTAGGATAAAGCACCAATAGGGAACGTACCTGGCTGCCAGACATCTGGGAGCGTGTTGCGTAAACCCCATTCGGGATGAAAAGCACTGTTAGGTTTTTCCTGTCTATGTGGAGCAGGTGGGATCTCTACAGAAGTACTGAGGGAGCTGTAGACCTGGTCAAGTCTTCCAGGAGTCTCAGATATGCTGCTGAGATTCTTTTAAGTGTTTAAAGTAGTGGTTGCTGAAGCATGGACACAAAAGCTGTGCAAGGTCTCTGCAGGTTTTTTTATGCTGTTATTTGTTATTTGAGTGCTCGGTCTTCACGGAAGGAAAGGCTTGGGAGCAGGAAATGATGCAAGATTTAAAAGGAGAGACAAAATAGCTTGGCTACAGTGGATCTTTGAGTTTCGTACAGTTTACTGAAACTGGTGAGAGTAGGACAAGCAGTGCTTGCTGAGGAAATAAGTGTCTTGCTAGGTGAAAAATTGTTCTCCTGAGCATTCTAAAAGTGTCTGTGCAGTTTAAACGAGTGCTCACTGCGAGGATGTTTACTCCAGGATTTGTTCAGAAGCCAGGGCACATCTCCAGCAGGTGTATTCTCAGAGCATTTTGCTTTCTGTATATATATATATATATATATATATATATTTGTGCGTGTGTGTGTGTGATGTTCCAACAGTGAGTTCTGTGGAGAGAATCTCAGCAGACACAGGTTCACACGGGCAGTGAAGAAGCTGAATGCTAATATCCTTCACCTTTGCTTCTCTCAGGTAGGGAGAATGCACATCTGGATTCTTTGAATAGCTTTTAAAATAGCAACTGTGCCTGCGGGTTTCCTCCAGTAACTGATCATGTCTTTTTGTTCCCTTCCCCATGGTAGCATGTAAATTTAGATCTGTTGCACCCACTGCATACGCTCAGGAACCTTATGTACCTGGTCAGCCCAGACACTGAGAACTTGGGCAGGTAAGAAAAGCAGTATCTCAACTCACCTGTGACCGAATCCGTTTGAAGTTACGCATTTGCCTTGTTACTTAGGAGGGGAATTCTCTTCTGCTGTACCTCTAGATCAGTCCTCAGCACACCAGAAATCAGGGTAGTCACAAGGAGGAGACGAGAGAGAACAGAAAAAGGGGGTCCTGAGTAGGAAATCAGATTTGAGAGATGTGTGCATGCTGTGCTTCTGTGTATTGCAGGCTCAGCTGGAGGCTTTGTAGCTGATTTATGGACTTGTTTCCCCTACAGCCAAAAGCAGGAACTCCTTCCCTCCCCTGGACAGCAGCACGTATGCCAGGCACTCTCCCTGTGCTCCTAATACGACCCTACCCACATCTTCCAACATGTAAATACCTAAGAGCACTCAGCAATATAAACCCTAAAACGAATGCTAGGTAAATCTTTCCCAGAATAATTCCAGTTAGTGAACACCCTATACCAAAGTCAACACTTCAAGTAATATTAATTTAAATGTAAATTAAGATTAAAGACAATTTTTCTGTTAACTTAGTACGTGATGAAAAGAGCATCAGTTCTTGTGGCCTGCACACACCAGGTTTAATACTCTTTTTCTTTTTTTTTTACAACTTAAATACAAGAAAGCCAACAACATTGATTTCCTGTTGGGATAATCCAGTCACAAGTCACTTGTGCCTGAGACAGTCTGCAAATATTTGCTTAATCTGACTACTGCTTATTCCCCCTTAAACACAGTAATGGTCTGAAATCTACTTTTCCACTTTGCTCTCGTGTACAGATCTATTTTATTTAAAAACCTGCAGTGCCACTAAGAGGAACTGAGTGCACACACCTCTAACCACTTACCCAAAGTTCTTTGGGTATGTCCCTACTGATTCAGCCCAAAGATATGGGGAGCCTGATCTTTGTAACGGTTTGGAAGAAATTACATGCTTGCTGCTGCTTGCCTGAAAACATGGAGAGTGCAGGAAATACCCAGAGAATGAAGAACTGTGTCCTGGAAAGCAGCTGTAAAAGGTCCAGGTACCACAGTGGGTCTCACTTCTCTGTGCAGATGTTACAGAGCTCCACAGGCATCAGTTGGGTCCACGGAGTAAAAGAGGAGGTTACAGGGAAGAGCTGGAGAAAATACCTACCAGTGAGGGGCATAGTTTAGTCCATATAAAACTGTCTTAGCTCGGTAGAGATGAGATTGAGACATGACTTCATTTCCACGCCTTCACGGGGAGAAAATACAGGCTATTGAATGGCTTTATAGACACCCCTGGAAGCAAGGAGTCTGAGCTAGGTTGAAATGAGGGACATGCGCTTAACGTGGAGATTTAATTGCCTGCGAGAATGAAGGTGGGGAATCTCTGTTTCCTGATGTCATCCTGCCAAGGCTGGATGAGTTTCTGGAATGGATGCTTTCATCAGGCTCAGGACAGGGGGAATGTAATGGCCTTTGTTGCAGAGGAGGTCACTCGAGAACGATCTGATGGTCCCTTCTGGCCTTAAACCTGATGACTCTTTTCTTATGTTGCCTTGTTAAGCAGAATGCTTTGCCAGAAGGCAACGCTCCCATTTCTTTCCGGATTATGAAAGAGGAGTGTTTATCTCTAATTTCTCAGCTGTCTGCAAAGTTTGCAGCAACCAGCTCTATTTTCCTTTTGATATCTAGGCCCGTAGTTGCCCAATAGTCCCCTTCATAAGCAACATCAGATACACACAATTTTGCCAAGCTTTAATCGTTTGGATTACAATTTTCCACATTAAATGGCTCCTTCAGGCTTCTTCTCTCACTAAGGCTGGAGAAACACTCTTGCCCATGTTAAATTCTTGCTCCTGTTTCACTGAGCAGCTTCGTACTTTGGAATGAACTTTGGCAGGGATGCTGCTTGCTGTGGGAATCCACCTTTTGCTGCCTCCACAAAAACCTCGAGCACTCAGACTGTGGGTCCCAGGCCTCTGAAACTGCCTGCTTTGGCTCAGTGAAGATATTTCAGATTTTGGTTTCCCGTGTTCCAGTGCAAAGGAGTGGGATGGGGAGGGATGTAATTGCTTCTCCCACCAGGCAGCGGCAGCAGGGAACTGGGAGTCCCACGCAGGTGGGTTTGGGCAGGACCTCTGGAGACCCAGCCCATCGCCCCACTCAGAGCAGAGCCAACTGGAGCAAGTTAACTCAGTGGCCAGTGGGGCTTTGAGTGTCTCCCGCAGAGGCTCCACGGCCTCTTGGGGCAACCTGTTCCAGTGTTTGACCAAACCTCATAGTAAAAAAGATCTTGAGATGTTGCTGAGGGTGAACTCTCCACTAGAGTTCTGCCAACGCAGCTCTGTAAGTCGTAAACTACATCCTTCCCCTCGCCGACAGAGCTGAGGCCGTCTTGGCCTGGCCAGGGCTAGTGGTAAAAATAAAAGCTGTTCCACATCGAGCGGAGATGGCCACCAGTGGAGCTGTGAGTTATTAGCAGTAGCTTTTTCTTTTGTACGTATGTATTTCACCGTCCACCACCAAAGCGGAACAGCTCTTCCGCCGTTCCTGCTCCGTGGGTTGGAACCCACCTCTTGCTGCTTTGGCCAACTGTTTTCTTTTCACCGTTGTCATAATACAGTTATCTCTGTAGCCAGTGAGTTTCTCCCTGCCAGCTGATAAACACAGAGGTGTTTTTGATTTCTCTGCTGTATGCTTGACAGAGCAGGGTGCTTTGGCACGCTAGGACTCATCCCAGCGAAGCGACAGCCCCTCTCCTGCGTGGTACCAAACGGGCTGACAGCCTTGTGTCCGTGTTTGCAGGTCTGGGCCTTTTGAAATTAGTGCTGATCTCGAAGACTCCATGGAGTTTGTGGATCCCAGTGCCACCGGCGAAACAGATGAGAGTGGAGATGAGCACGTCAGCGACGAAGAGACAGACCTGGGGACAGACTGGGAGAATCTGCCGAGCCCCAGGTTCTGCGATATCCCCTCTCAGCAGGTGGAGATGCTGCAGAGCCAGAGCACGCAGGTGTCCCAGCCCATCGCCAGCAGCAGCGCTGGGGGAATGATCTCATCTGCTGCTGCCTCGGTGACCTCGTGGCTGAAGGCATACACTGGACATCGCTAACGAGCACGGGAAGAAAAGGATCCTAGGATTTGTGGAAGGAAGGAATCCCCTCCCCGACAATGCTGTAGTAAACCTTTACCTATTCAGTTAAGTAGTGCCTGGAACAAAAGAAAAGGTCAGACTTTCATTTTGTAAACCAGAAAAACCTTTTTATTTACCCAAGATGACTGTGATAGTACCATTTTGTAAATTAGCTAGCTATGTACTTCTGATGGATTCTGTGACGGCACTTTGTGTCTTGGTTCTGTCTGCATTGTTGAGTATCCAAGGACCCGGCAGCCTCCAGCTCTACTTTCTAAAGAAGAAACAGATTTTGGAGTATTTGGATTGGGATGAGTATGGAGAGAAGGCTGCTCAGTGTGCAGTCTGGACGGTGGTGCAAATGCAGTTCACATTTTCTTAACTCCTTACAGGGTTTTTTGTTTGTGTGTGTTTTAAATCTGTCTTGCATAATGCGAAAATGCGTATTTCTAAATTTTTTTCATTCAGGACATGGAAGTTATGCATTTTTAACATGTTTTCTAATCTCTGTTGCCATATTTTTAATACAAAGAATCAGCGTGGACAGGAATTCACACAGCAAATTGCTCTTATTTTAGATTTGGTTGTGAATCTTTACCCAGTTTTGCCGCAGAAAACTGGCTTGTTTCATGCTGTTTCCACTGGCAGGTAGTCTAGAAGTTTTGTGTTGTGCTGTCCAAAGCACACAAGCTCTTTACTCTTGATATCATACACCAAAGAAACACTGGACGTTCTCTTAGCTAGACCCACATTTGATGCTGATACAGGATTGCGTTGTTGCAATAATCGGCTCCGACACCATGTTGCCGCTTTTTAATATTTGAAAAAAAAAACCAACCTCATTTCAAGCTAGTTTAATGAAGTCACGCGGTCTCCACACTACAGGCGTTTTAAAACCTATTTTATGTTTATGGCGGGTTTGTTTTTTATCCCTCTTGTTTACTGAATGCCAAGAAGTTGGTTTCATTTCACTGCAGAAACGCTGGCGGCGCAGCTGGCTGGCTTGTAAAGCTACGGGAGGTGTGACGCTGACAGATGCGTCCCTTAACAAGTGCTCCTCCGCTTCCTCTGCCTTGCCGTGTGTATTACTTAAAGATGGGTTTGCTCAGCAAGGCTTCCAACGTATGGTTTACATTTTCTATAGCTGGGACGTTACTTCTCCACAGGGTAAACTAACGTAAAAGCGTCCTCCCAGCCCTCTGGGTGGGAAGATTTTTGCCACTCTCCCCTGTAGCTTCCCCGTGGCGATGCAGCCTGTAACAGGGGCACGGTGAGGTTGCAGAGTGATGCACAAGCCACGTTCCTGCCATCAGGCAGCGTCCTCCTGCGTGTCCTTCCAGCTCCGGGGCTGGCTTCCCCGGCCGTCTCCCGGCGTGGTGTGTGGTGGTTTTGCTCTGGTCACCACAGAGCCGGGGGGTTTCTCTGCAGCCAGCTCCCCCACCGAGGAGAGGGTGGAAAAGCAGTTTGGTACCCAGTGAGCTCCCCTCAGCCAGGGGTACGGGCTGAGTCAGGTGTCTCCCAGCCCCCTGCCCCTCTCCTATGGCAGCTCTTTCTCTTTGGCCTTGCAGATGGGCGTCTGTTGTCAGTTTGATTTTTTTAATTTTTTTTTTTTAAACCAAAGACCCTTAACTCCGCACTAACAGCACGCACGGTGTTAGATGAAGACACCCTCGATCCTACCATTCTTTTGGTCTAAATCCAAGAGTTGGGTTTGTTTTAAGAGAACAGCCAAGATTCCCTTGACTACTGCAGCCTGAACGGGGACGGAGCCCCCCGGCCCCTCCAGCAGTGAGCGGGGCCGGGAGGGTTTGGTCACTGCTCAGTTCACAGCACTTTACTCACTTGCAGCTATCGGATCCTTTGCAGTTCTGAGCAACCAGCACACGCTCACCAGTACTGTATAGTGGGCTCTGAGCATCACACAGCCCCCTCTGGTTCCCCATTTATTTTGCACTGGACCCCACCATAGAAATATATTTTCTTTTTTTTCTTTTTTCTTTTTTTTTAATACGTATTTCAGTCACTCTTTCATTGCTGCCTTTGGGCTACTCTGAACCCCTAAAAGTCAGGCCATGATTCTGCTTTGTACGTTGTCATTTACTTGCTTAGGGGAAGAAAAAACAACATAAAAAAAACCTTTTAAAGCCATATACTTCATAATCATCATGTTTTCCAAATAATTTATTTATAACCATGTCATACTCTGAAAGTGCAACGGCACTGCGAGGGTGTTAAATTGCATTGGGATAGGTCTTTTCGTGAAACATTTTTGTAACAGAACACAGATTGTGAGTTGGTTTGGTTTTTTTTAAAAAAAAAAACGTGTTTTGCACATGTGTAGCTAAGGAAGAAATGTGTGTGTCCAAACCTTGAGTGCAATCGCCAGGATTAGTTTCCCAGGTTGTTTTGGGGGCGGGGGAGGGAGGGCAGGAATATCTGTAGTTATAGATATTTGAAGACAGCCAGCTGAGAGTTTACAAAACACTTTGCGTAGCATGAATGCGGGAATTTCAGTTTAGGCCGTGACTTTTGTTCGTGACCAAGTGATCTGGGGTGGCTGATCTGAGCTGCTGAGGAAGAGCCCAATGGCAAGAGCCCAGCCCTCTGCTGAAAATGGGGTGAAGGGTCTCAGGTGGGACACCCAGGGGTGGCTTGTCACCTGCAAAAACTCGGGGCCTCTCTCTGCAACTTCCGAAGTAGATGTAACTAAACACAAACGTGTTTTGGGGTTTTTTTGTTTGTTTTTCTAAATTTTATTGTATTATTGCAATAAATCTTTTAACAGTATTTTTTTTTAAAGTTGTATATTTATAATTGTTACTTCTGTGTGGTTTTGTTTTTAACCATGCTGGGGCAGTACACAGGAATTTCCAGCCTTCAAAGCATCACAGGGACCAGGCCTGTTCCAGTGCAATCATACAGCGGTGGAACAAGCAAAACCATTTCTAAAAAAATACTCTTACATAAAATAACTAACATCTCCAGTGGAGCAGGTAGAGGAGTGCTGCAAAACACACACACACACACACACACACACACACACGTCCCTCTATGTACATGTAAACAGATAAATCTCTTGTGTACACCTGGCTGATATTTATTTCTGCAGGTGCTGAGCCCGAATGACTTCTGCTGCATGCAAAGACAAGGCTCCTCTTTTCAAGGTCATCTCAGAAGGACATGAGCGTGTGTCTCCTGAGGGAGGTAACTGTTAACGTGAGCTGTTGTGTGTCTGAGCAGCAGGGATGGGAAGGGGCCGTGTTTGTCAGGAAGAAGCCTGTGGGAGCTGGTGGCCTGCAGCCTGTGGTTTACTGGCTGCTGAATGATGGAGAAACAGCCCACCTCACTTAGGTTTTTTGTGGCAGCTACCTGCTGCGGAGGACCGATGCTGTGTGATTCCCATCTGCTGCTCTCCCAGGAGCCAGAGCAGCAGCCCGGGGCTCCTGCACCCACATGGAGCTGGGGCAGTTTGCTGCCTCGGTCACAGCCACGCAGGAAAGCAGCCTGTGTGCAAAGCCAGGCCTAGCTCCAAGCTTGGCTCATGCCTATGGGCTGCTTGGGTCACTTCTGCTTAGGCAGTGGCAGCAGCAGGAGGTTTTGTCCTCTGCCACCACTGGTTTGTGGCAGAAGAGCAGCCCCAAAATGACCCCGGTCCTGTCCCTGCTCCAGAACCAGCCCAACGCAGGCTGAGGGGGGCAGAAACAGCCCAGGGCGAGGCTTCAGCACCATTCCAGCCTTGCAAGAAGTGAGATTCCAGAGGTCAGATGCGTTGGCACAGCCTTGTGCTGGTGTGAAATGACAGTCCCGGGAGGTGGCACAAGGGCAGACGCTGCAGAAAATGAAGTGGAGCCAAAGCCACAGACCTGACCTCTGCTACACCATGGCAGAGCCTCGGTCCAGGGCGCAGAGACACCACGGAGGGAAAAAAGCTGCTGCAGGAACAGGCAGGATGGAGCAACAACCCAAACACAAGCCCACAAGCCTCGGCCATGGGCGGCTTTTTTTAGTAGTGTCGGTGCCAGGAGACCCCCAGAGCTTGATGAAAACTGGAAGCTTAAGAACAATGGAAATGTTACTACAATTTCTTCACGGGCGTATCTGGAAATTCAGTCCAGACGTTCCAGCCGCTCCCAGGCAGGGAAATCGAGCACACAGCACAGGCTTTTGTCCTCAGTTCTGAACGCTGAGTTTTGTAAATCCAACCCTGGATTTGGTTTTAATTGTCTCTTAGAAAAAAAAAGTTCATCAGACATTGGGTTCTCCCTGAACTGGCCCTTCAGGAAACAGAAATCTGCACTTTACTACTTTATGAGGGGGAAAAAAAAAAAAAAAGCTTGCAGGCAGCTCAGCACGGCTACATTCAGAACCAACCCACTTCTGGATGCAGAAGTTTGTTCTGTAAAGCAATTTCTAACAGCAGCAGTGCTGTGCAACAGGGATAGTTCCGGCAAGCAACGTAATAAATGATGTATAAACCAGCCCGGCGTTCCTCAGCCAGCCTGGGGGCAGGGTGGGGATGGGAGAGGGTAGAGAGCAAATTGTCCTCCCTACTTAACTGCTCCAAGGAACAAAAGAGCGCAATGCTGTTATTTTATTCTCATTTTTCCTCTTGTTCAGTGAAGGTGACCAAAATCTCACACCCTGTTCCAAAAAAAATTACCTCACTGGCCCCTTATCTAGTTACAAAATATTTTTCTCCGCTGCTTCTATTTCAGCCTCGTAGGGACTTTCCTCGCTGCTGTCAGCCTGGCATGGGTTATCTCAAGTTTTCCAGCGTTTTGGGTGGGGGGGCAGGAAAGCAGCTTCTTCCCTCCCTCTTCCTTAATTGAAATTAAGCCGAAGGCGTTTGATGCTGATGGTTTCAGCAAGACAGCTCCCGCCAGAAAGTTGTTTTGCTGCTCGTCCCAGTGCAGCCGATGGAGCGGATCGAAGCTTGTGGGCGAAGCCTGCGCCCCGTTAGAGAATGAAGTCACGAACTAACGAGGGATCCTGCTTTTCCTCTCCTTCTTCACAGCTGATTACAAGGCAACCGCACCCTGCTTTTCGATTTCTAATTTCATTCCTCCTGGTTGCCATCACGTCTGCTGCATTGCAGAGCTGGCCCAGGAGGAGCAGCAGCAGGGAGGGGAGCCCAACGCCCGGGGGGTCAGGCAGCAGGTAAAGCAAGGATTGGAAAAAAAAACCCACAACCCATCCCTTTTAAATCTACTGTGAACATCTTGAGCTTACCAAACCCACATTTCCAGCTGTAAGGGCTCAAGTTTTCCTTTGCTGTCACTGGGGAGAATAAAAGCATCTTCCTTCAAACCCTCTCTGTCCTCAGCTCCAGGTATCGCTCCCTGTGACCCCGCTGCAGCTTTAGGCCCGCAGAGGCGAAGCTGAGGGAGGAGGGTGGTTCAGCTCGGCCCTCGCAGCCACCAGCTCCCCTCACTTGGCAGATCTTGCTCCGAGGGCTATGGAACAGCCGCCCCCCTCCAGCCGCTGCTCCCCCGAGCCCTCGCCCGCTCCCAGGCGCTGCCCTGGGGGCTGCAGCGCAGGGGGGAGCCCCAGGGGAAGGGGGCACCGGCTCTTCCTGCACCCTGTCGGAGATTTCATCTCCTCCCACTGCCCCCACTGCCAGGAATCCATCCTTGTCCTGAGAACAGCAGTGTGGGGGGAGAAGGGATTTGGGGGATGTAAAGGCCCAACCGCAGTTGGCTCCCTGCAAAATGGCTGCAGGGTGTCCCGGGCACGTTCCCAGGTTTCCCCACTGTCCAGCCCCAGGCAGAGAGCGGGGCCGAGGAGGGCTGTGACGGCACCGCAGGGGAGGAACGCCTGCGGGAAATACGCCAAGAGAGGCCCCGCTCCGCTCCCAGGAAGGGGTCAAGGAACTGGCGCTCCTCCCAAAGCACCCCCTCGTACCTCAGAAACAAGATGGCAGAGGCTGGGGCAGAGCAACGCAACGATCCCTCTTACAAGGGAAAAATTCCAAATCCTGTGGACAGCAGAGCTTCCAGCAGAGCACCGAGGCAGGACAACTCCACCTTCCACCATCCTGCTGGACCCACACTCTGGCCTCAAGGACCCGGTGAAGAGGTGAGGGGCCAACGCAAGGGTTGAGAAGCAGGACTCAAGCAGGAGAGCCCCTCTTTTTGCAAGTCTCACACACCCAGCACCAGCTTTCTGCACAACAGGAGCCGCTCTCAAACCTCTTGAGGGGGGAGGGAAAGGAAAAGTGAAGTAATACGAGTTTGGGGGTTGGTTTGTTTCTTTTTTAGGAGGAAGACGGGTTTTACACATCTGAACTACATCACAGTACCAAGTTTCTGCCATGTGTTTTACAGTATTTTTATTTTGGGGCAAAAGTCTTACAAGAAAGTCGGGTAAGGCAAATCTAGAATGCACATTTTATTTAAGTAAAAAAAAAAAAAAAAAAAAGACAACAAGGCTAAAGTAGACAAGAACTTTTTATATTCTGACTATACAATAATATTCCTCTTTTTTTTTTTTATCCACTGCCACACTACTATAATGGATCTGTTCTAGTCTAATTTTAAGGTTGTCCAGTTAAGTTGTCTGAAGATTCTTTAAACAAGTTGACCTTTACCTATTTAGAGTTTCTTCTCAGAAACATTCATATATTATACAGGATATACAGATTTTGAAACAAGACACTTAAAAACACACAAAACTATAGCCGCAACACTATCATAGCTGCATTGTAGTGATTACGTTGTTCAGCCAGCTGTAGACTCTGTATGTACAATTAGTTTTTATAGTGTTATTTACATAGATGGACTAAACGCTATCTTTAATCTAAAAGGTAAAGGCTCTTGTGTTTAAGTATGTGCAGTTTCATAGCCCTGTGGAAAAAAAAAACAAAAAAAAAAAAACCACGACAATTATATACACTGTAAACAGCACAAGGCATGAGAATCTCCTCCTACCCCAAAACAATCTCGCCGGAAAGTGTATGTGCACTAATATTCCTCTTCCACTTCGGCTCCCACTCCTCTGGTCTTCTTATGAATAGCACGGTTAAAGCTGTGGCAGGCAGGAACCCAGTGATTGTCATGAAGACCTAACTTACAGCCGGGGATGCCCTTCTGAGACCGGTGACAGCACATCCAGTACCCAGGCCCGTAGGGTAAAGCTTGACAGTATGGTTTGGGATGCCACCGGCACAGCGATACGTCCCCTTTCACGTATTTTTTCTTGCACTGCTTACACGGATCTTCTCTGTAACGGGGATCGCGGACCCAGCGGGAATCTGCTGGCCTGATGTTGTAGTATTCAATGATGAATTTGAAGTAGTAGCAAGTGCATTTTAG